TGTATGAACTGATGGACGGAATCGAATAGACGCTTTAAGAATGCTTAAAGGGTAACTCCACGTTCGTGGCAAAAAATATAGCAACTAGAAAAAATATACAGGCGTACCTTGGTTTATGAATGCCTCGGTTGACGTAATGTTCGGTTTACGAATGAAAATCCATTGAAAATAATGCCTCGGTTTATGAATTTATTTCGCAATACGAACGGATTAATTGGTTTTCAATGCATTTACACTTTTTTTCATCATGTCCTTGTACAGTATTTATGCCTTTAAAGTGCACTTTATAAAGAGTTTTGAACAGATAAAATACTTTCTTTTTACTTTTTTCTGACCCCCGGAACGTATTAATTGGTTTTCAATGCATTTACAAATTAATTTTTAATCATGTCCCTGTACAGTATTTATGCCTTTAAAGTGCACTTTATGAAGAGTTTTGAACAGATAAAATACTTTTTTTTTAGTTTTTTCTGACCCCCGGAACGGATTAATTGATTTTCAGTGCATTCCTAAGGAAACCGCGTCGTTTCAGTTCATGAATTTTTTGCAATACGAACGGATTAATTGGTTTTCAATGCATTTACACTTTTTTTCATCATGTCCCTGTACAGTATTTATGCCTTTAAAGTGCACTTTATAAAGAGTTTTGAACAGATAAGACATTTTTTTACTTTTTTCTGACCTCCGGAACATAATAATTGGTTTTCAATGCATTTACAAATTAATTTTTAATCATGTCCCTGTACAGTATTTATGCCTTTAAAGTGCACTTTATAAAGAGTTTTGAACAGATAAAATACTTTTTTTAAACTTTTTTCTGACCCCCGGAACGGATTAATTGATATTCAGTGCATCCCTATGGGAAACCGCGTCGTTTCGGTTCATGAATTTTTCGCAATACGAACGGATTAATTGGTTTTCAATGCATTTACACTTTTTTTTAATCATGTCCCTGTACAGTATTTATGCCTTTAAAGTGCACTTTATAAAGAGTTTTGAACAGATAAGACATTTTTTTACTTTTTTCTGACCTCCGGAACATAATAATTGGTTTTCAATGCATTTACAAATTAATTTTTAATCATGTCCCTGTACAGTATTTATGCCTTTAAAGTGCACTTTATAAAGAGTTTTGAACAGATAAAATACTTTTTTTAAACTTTTTTCTGACCCCCGGAACGGATTAATTGATATTCAGTGCATTCCTATGGGAAACCGCGTCGTTTCGGTTCATGAATTTTTCGCAATACGAACGGATTAATTGGTTTTCAATGCATTTACACTTTTTTTTAATCATGTCCCTGTACAGTATTTATGCCTTTAAAGTGCACTTTATAAAGAGTTTTGAACAGATAAGCCTTTTTTTTCTTTTTTCTGACCTCCGGAATGTAATAATTGGTTTTCAATGCATTTACAAATTAATTTTTAATCATGTCCATGTACAGTATTTATGCCTTTAAAGTGCACTTTATAAAGAGTTTTGAAGAGATAAAAGACTTTTTATTAACTTTTTTCTGACCTCCGGAACGGATTAATTGATTTTCAGTGCATTCCTATGGGAAACCGCGTCGTTTCGGTTCATGAATTTTTCGCAACACGAAAAGTCCCGCAGAATGAATTAAATTCGTAAACCGAGGTACGCCTGTACATCGTATGCAATTGCCACACAAGTTATACTGCAATAAATGTCATTAAATATCACCGTTCCTTTTCAGGCCTCATGCACACATTTTAAACATGCCGGTAGCGTTAGTTGTATAAAGTTGCTTTAAATACACGTTTTTCCATGTTTTATAGCGTTTTTGGATTAGCTTTTTAGCTGCGTTTGATCGCGTTTAGCCATGTTTTTTCATGGTAACAGTTTTTAGTGTTTTTTTACACCCAAAATTTTTTACAAATTTTGGCTACAAAAAAAATTTCATTTTGCTGCGTTTTACCGCGTTTATCAGAGTTAAAGTGTTTATACAGCTGAAAAGCTCCTCTTGAAATCCACTAGTTCTGTTTTTTTTTTTTACCACCAAAAAACATTGATTAACCGCTTCCACTCTGCCCTACAGCAGAAATACTGCTACAGGGTGGCAGGAGTGCGCAAAATCACGTATATATATGTGATTTTGCATTTCTGGGTAGGACACACACAAGCCGAGGGAAGGCCGTTCGTGGCCCTCGGCTGTCAATCTCGCCGGCACCCAGTGATCGCTGAGTATCTCCGACGGGGGAGAGACCTGTGTATAAACAACACAGATTTCTCTCCTGTTAGCTCCTGCTCACTGCTTTGTATGGCTATACATATCATAGCCACACAAAGCAGCATGCTTACAGCGAAACAGCACACAGTTAACCCTTTGATTGCCCACATGTTAACCCCTTCCTGCCCAATGCCATTAGTAGTGTCAATGCTTTTTATTAGCACTGATCACTATATTGGTGTCACTGGGGATGTCAGTGACACCAAATCAGTTCCCCTCCAGTGTCAGAATTCCCGCCGCAGTCCCGCTATCAGTTGCTGATCGCCGCCATTACTAGTTAAAAAAAAATATTCCAGTATCTATACCGCCATTTTTAAACGCTATAACTTCCACATAAACCAATTAATTTACACGTATTAATTAATTAATCTGCAGCCACTGTCATTTTCTGTAAAACGCAATACAGTATGGCAACCAAGAGGTGCTCTGTACACCCCCCAGAAATGTCATTTCCTGCTTGTGTGATTGGCTCTTTGATTTTTCTAGAAGCTTTCACTAAGATACAAGTCAGATTTTAGGCATCTCCTGCAATAGGAATTTCAGTTTTGGTGAGATACAACCCACGGGTTAAATACTTCTGAAGGGATGCAGACCCTGCAACTTTTCCCATTAGAACACTGAGTATGTACCAGCTCATTACAATGAACCAAACCCTCCCTTTCTGAAACAATCTAGACTAAGATACAAATCAGATATTAGGCTTCTCCTGCAATAGGAATTTCAGTTTTAGTGAAACTCTCCAAGGGTTAAATACGTCTGAAGGGATGCAGACCCTGCAACTTCCCTCATTAGAACACTGAGAGTGCACCAGCTCATTACAATTAACCAAACCGTCCCTTTCAGAAACAATCTGCATTGAGATATAAATCAGATTTTAAGTATCTCCTGCAATAGGAATTTCAGTTTTGGTGAAATACTCCTCAAGGGTTAAATACTTCTGAAGGGATGCAGACCCTGAAACTTTCCTCATTAGAACACTAAGAACGTACTAGGTGATTTTGATGAACCAAATCCTCCCATTCACAATCAGTCTGCGCTAAGGTATGTCAGATTTTAGGCAACTCCTGCAATAGGAATTTCAGTTTTGATGAAATACTCCCCAGCAATTAAATATCTCTGAAGGGATACAGACCCTGCAGCTTTTCTCATCAGAACACTGAGAGTGCAGCAGGTCATTATAACGAACTAGACCCTCCCATTCAGAATCAGCTAAGATACAAGTCAGATTTTAAGTATCTCCTGCAATAGGAATTTCAGTTTTGGTGAGATACTCCTCAAACGGTAATTACTTCTGAAGGGATGATGACCATGCAACTTTCATCATTAGAACATTGAGAGAGCACCAGGTGATTATGATGAAACAGACCCTCCCATTTAGAATCAGTCTGCACTAAGATACAAGTCAGATTTTCGGCATCCCCTGCAATGAGAATTTCAGTTGTGGTGAGATACTCCCCAGTTGTTGGATATTTCTAAAGGGATGCCGACCCTGCAACTTTTCACCAGGTGATTATAATAAACCAAACCCTCCCATTTAGAATCAGTCTGCAACTAAGCTGGATACATTCTCTGTAGTGTACAGTGATCACCCACAGGAAAATGTTTTTTTCTCAACAAAAAAATGGACTTAGGCCAGCCATACATGGGTCAATTTTCAAACAATTTTTCGTTCGAAAATCGAACTTATGAATAATTGGATGATTTTTGCTCTGTTAGTGGGTCAATGGCACGGGCCGATTTTCGTGGTTCCTCGCCTTTTCGGTAATCGGGCATGCTGGAAAATTTTTGAAAAACGACTGATTTTTTTAAATCATTGGTGGCACCATCGGATTACAGAACGAACAATGTTTTCGATCTTCAATCGAAAAATCATTCGGAATTTGAACCATGCAGGGGCGGACTGACAACTCATGGGGCCCCCGGGCAAAAGGGGATCATGGGGCCCCTGTGTCCTTGCCCAAACTCAAAAAAGCCTATGAAAAAGGTACCAGGGGCATCTCATGGGGTCCCCTACTGACCCCGGGCCCTCGGGCAGTGCCCGAGTTTCCAAATGGTCAGTCCGCCCCTGGACCCATGTATGGCCTGCTTAACTCTTTAAGCAACGGCAAGAAAAATCATTATTTACAAAATGATCATTGAAATTTTAGCTAAATTGATTTTTTTGCTGTCGGCAAAATTTCTCTGAAGCAGAAGCTCTCAATTTTTAGGTGAAATTTGCTTAGAAAAAATAAAACAAACTTCTTTTTTTTTTCTCTTGATTTAGCGGATGTGTGTTGGGCAGTATTTTATTATTTTTTTTTAATTTATGTTTTTTAGGGTTTTTTTTTATTTTTCACATTGATTGTTATTTTGTGCTTTTTTTTGCACTTTTTTTTTGTTTTTACTTTTTTTTTTCTTTTTGTGGAAAAAAAAACCTCTATGAAAGATTGAGGTTAATATGGGGCAGTTTTTGGCCTAAGAATGATAGTTCTTGATAGTTGAAAGGTTTATCTGATAAATTTCACTGTATCATGGTATCATTGTATCTTTGTAGCGATGTATCATTGTATCCTTGTTTTATTGTTACCTATTGTTTGTAAATAATTTATAAATAGTGATTCTGACTTTTTTTAAAGGGCATGATGGCTCTGATTATTTATTTAAAAATGCATTAATAAATAAAAAAAACAAAAAAAAAACAAATATATATATATATATATATATATATATAATTATTATTATTTTTAATTTTTTTTTTTTTTATCTTTTTAGGTAAATAACTTAATTTGGCATGTGAGATGCCTGGAGTGTTCGGTGTGTAGGACGTCTCTGAGACAACATAACAGCTGCTATATAAAAAACAAGGAGATATTCTGTAAAATGGATTATTTCAGGTAAAGTTAGCTTGTCTTCCAGTCTGTAAAACTAGATTAAGATGTTTGTATTATGATTTTTTTTCAGCCATATACACACAAATGGTTTGTTATGCATGCTAGAACTTTTGTGCATTAATAAATTGGTGTGAATGGAGGTCACCCTACTTGGTAGCTGAAGGGTTAAAAAAAAAAAAAAAAAAGTCCAGTTTTATTGATGAATTGATATTTGCACTTAACATACTTTGTATCAACGCTTGTCCATGATTGGAGGTCGTTTATATCTTTGGTTGCATTAGCTAGTATTTCATTGTTGGTTAGGTATTTGGTGTATTTGACTTATTTCTATTAGAAAAACCTTCACTTGAACCTGATGATGGCATCGTATGGCCAAATGTTTATGGTCAACACATAGTGATGGTAACTGTTATTGCTACAACATACCGAGACATTTTAAACATTTGTGCGCTTCCAACTTTGTGGTAACCCTTTGGTGAAGACAGGGCTGTCCTAACGCATGGGCACCCCTGGGCACAGTACAGTACAGAGGGGTCAGGAGGGTACAATACAGGGGACCCCTCATGGAAGAAAAACATATTTGAAATATATTTTAAAAATATCCTTCCCAAATTTATTAATATATTGAGATATATATGTATATATATATATATATATATATATATATATACTGTACATACTGCATGTTGAAATGCGTTTTTTATATATGACAAAGTATAAGAACTTTTTTTACATATATTCTTCAAATTTTTTTTGGAACATATAAAAAAAGTCATTTTAACGTATATTTTTACATATATTTGTTAATGCATTCCAAAAATGCAGATTAAATGTATTTTTAAAGGCATACAGTATATTTGAAAAGTATTTTTAAAAATATTCTTCCCAAATATATTGACTTATATTTGAAACACTACAATTTTCGCTGTATTCAATATATTTCAAAAGATATTTCAATGTATATACAGTATGTGTGTGTGTATATATATATATTTATTATTATTTATTACAGGTACTTATATAGCGCCGTCAATTTACTCAGCGCTTTACACATATACAGTTGCAAGAAAAAGTATGTGAACCCCTTGGGATAGTTTTGCATGAATTGGGCATAAAATGTGCTCTGAACGTCATCTAAGTCACAACAATAGAAGAACACAGTTTGCTGAACATAATACTACACAAACATTAGATGTTGCCATGGTTTAATTGCACATAACATGTAAACATTCACAGTGCAGGGAGGAAAAAGTATGTGAACCTTTGGACTTAATAACTGGTTGACCCTCCTTTGGCAGCAATAACCTCAACCAAACGTTTCCTGTAGTTGCAGATCAGACCTGCACAACGATCTGGAGTCATTTTGGACCACTCCTCTTCACAAAACTATTTCAGTGTAGCAATATTCTTGGGATGTCTGGTGTGAATCGCTCTCTTAAGGTCATGCCACAGCATTTCATGGGGTTGAGGTCAGGACTCTGACTGGGCCACTCCAGAAGGCGTATTCTGTGCTGTTGCAGCCATTGTTTTTGTTGAATTACTTGTATGCTTTGGGTCATTGTCCTGTTGCATCACCCATCCTCTGCCGAGCTTCAATTGGCGGACAGATGGTTGTACGTTTTCCTGCAAAATGTCTTGATAAACTCTGGAATTCATTTTCCCATCAATGACAAAAATCCGTCCAGGCCCTGAGGCAGCAAAGCAGCCCCAAACCATGATTCCCTCCGCCATGTTTCACAGTGGGGATGAGGTTTTTGATGTTGGTGTGCTGTGCCTTTTTTTCTCCACACATAGTGTTGTGTGTTCTTCCCAAACAACTCAATCTTGGTTTCATCTGTCCACAGTATATTTTGCCAGTAGTGCTGTGGAACATCCAGGTGCTCTTTTGCAAACTTCAAACGTGCTGCAATATTCTTTTTGGACAGCAATGGCTTCCTCCGTGGTGTCCTCCCATGTACTCCATTCTTGTTTAATGTTTTCCTTATTGTAGATGTGTCAACAAAAATGTTAGCATGTGCCAGAGATTTCTGTAGGTCTTTAGCTGACACTCTGGGATTCTTCTTTACCTCATGCAGCATTCTGCGCTGTGCTCTTGCAGTCATTTTTACAGGACGACCACGCCTAGGAAGAGTAGCAACAGTGCTAAACTTTCTCCATTTGTAGACAGTCTGTCTTACCGTGGACACATGAACATCAAGGCTTTTGGAGATACTTTTGTAACCCTTTCCAGCTTCATGCAAGTCACCAATTCTTGATCGTAGGTCTTCTGAGAGCTCTTTTCTGCGAGGCATGGTTCACATCAGACAGTGCTTCTTGAAACCAGTAAACCCAAAACAGGTGTGTGTTTTTTAAGGGCAGGACAGCTGTCAGCAACACATCCAATATCATCACACTGATTGGAGTCAAGGTTGGCTCACTCCTGGCTCCAATTAGCTCTGGGAGAAGTCATTAAGCTAGGGCCTCACATACTTTTTCCTCCCTGCACTGTGAATGTTTACATGTTATGTGCAATTAAACCATGGCAACATCTAATGTTTGTGTAGTATTATGTTCAGCAGACTGTGTTCTTCTATTGTTGTGACTTAGATGACGTTCAGAGCACATTTTATGCCCAATTCATGCAAAACTCCACGTAATCCCAAGGGGTTCACATACTTTTTCTTGCAACTGTATATATATTGTACATTCACATCAGTCCCTAACCTTCAAGGGGCGTACAATCTGTCCCTAACTCACATTCATACATACTAGGCACAATTTCGACAGGATCCAATTAACCTACCATATATATATATATATATATATATATATATATATTTATACACTGCATGAAATGCTTTTTTTATATATTACAAAATATAAGAAAAATATTTTTTAAAAACATATATTTTTTACATATATTCTTGAGATTTCTTTTTGTTACATATAAAAAAGTCATTTTAACATATATTTTTACATATATTTGTTAATGCATTCCAAAAATGTAGATTAAATGTATTTAATATATACAGTATATTTGAAAATGTATTTTTAAAAATGTTTTTCATATATTTTGTAGTAAAAAACGCATTTCAACATACAGTATGTATGCAGGGGTGGACTGACCATTTGGAAACTCGGGCACTGCCCGAGGGCCCGGGGTCAGTAGGGGGCCCCATGAGATGCCCCTGGTACCTTTTTCATAGGCTTTTTTGAGTTTGGGCAAGGATACAGGGGCCCCATGATCCCCTATTGCCCAGGGTCCCCATGAGTTGTCAGTCCGCCCCTGTATGTATGTATATATACAGTATGTATATATATATATATATATATATATATATTAAATATATTGAATGCGGCCAAAATTGTAGTATTTCAAATATGTCAATATATTTGGAAAGAATATTTTTACAATATATTTAAAATATATTTTTTCATCCATGTGGGACAGGAGGGTGTACATTACTGTATTACTGTACCCACCTGTCCCACATGGAAGAAAAATATATTTTAAATATATTGTAAAAATATTCTTCTCAAATATATTGACATATTTGAAATGCTACAACTTTGGCCATATTCAATATATTTCAAAATATATACTATCTCTGTATTACAATACAGAGATGGTCTCCTCAAGCGGAGCAGCGCAGGGAAGCTGCTGCCACAGATCTTACCTGATCTGGTATTCTGTCACTGGGCTAAATCCACAAATCTGAATTTTTGTTCATGGTAAGAGGCATGTATATTATTTTAGAATGTTGTCATGCTGTCATTATAAAGTTTTATTATAGCTACTGTACAAATATGATTGCATTACATCTTCTTTGGATTTGTGCACCATTTTAATTTTTGGCCCTCCGGTGTTTCTCTTTAAATTGAGGTTCAGTGCTTTTTCTTATAATTTTATATTAATAAAATATTATTAAAATAATTCGAAAGTATAATGGCCTTTTGTAGGTTTTCAAAAGATGTGCAAAATTAAACATTTGTATTAAACCCCAAAACCAAAAATGTTACATATTGCAGCTTACCGATCATTGGTGGCTGCATTAGTTTTCTTTTTTTTTTTCTCTGTTTTCACCTGGTGATCTGGTCAGTAACACACCTCCTAGATTATCAACTCTGGATGAAGGAGCAGAAGGGGCACCTTTGGACAGCAGCATTTTCAGTCTGGGGGGGGGGGGGGGTGTTAGATGTACTAGCATATTTAAATACACAAAACAAATTGAAGTTGAACTCCAGCTAACACTTTCTAAGCAATTACAATTTTTTTTTCTTTTTGGGATAAAGATTTTACATACATAAATAAGAGCTGATCATTGTGAGCACCCCTGTCAGTGGTAAATGGTTTTTCTCATCCCTGTAAACTGATACATCCGGAAGAGAGCTTGTTCTTTTGAAAAACAACAGACATACTCGGTTGGATCACCCGCTGAAAATAGGAGAAAACCTTAAAAAAAAGAAAATGAATGCAGCCACCACAGCTAAGAATCGGTAAGCTGCAATATAATAAATGTTTAGCTTTTGGGTGTAATGCTACTTTAAATGTATTTGCAATGTCAATCAGATGTTTTGGCCATTCAAATCATTTTTTTTATGCAGTTTTTTCAAATTTCAGTAATTTAGCAAATTGGCTTAAATACGTAGGATATAAAAAAAGCTGCTCCTGTTATCATCAAATGCCCTCCACGGGATCCAGTCCCATGACTTCCTCTGAGCTGATCAGTAATTAGACAGCAACATTGTATCACCAGGTGAGGAGCTGCAGTAGGAGCTGATTTGTCAATTACGTCCATGATGGACGAAACGCGTTAATGGGGCATGGTCCGGGATGGGACGATGCTGAAGCCTTGCTCTTCCATTTGAAATTGAGTGGCTTTTGGCGTGCTCGCTCGCCCATTCTCTTTTTTTTTTCCTGTTGATGATCGGGCAGGACGAGCCCTAGGGGAACTGCACCCAGCGGGGGGTGAATCACCAGGGTGGGGGGGAATCTGTAGGTGGTGCTGGTAGCAGCACTTTGTGTGTGTGTTGGGTTTCAGTGAACACAGCCAAGAACTGCACAGACACCAGGATTGTGTGATCTCTGAACCGGCATCTCAGTCCGGAAGTAGACAGTGACCCTGGATGATGGCTGAATAAATATGGCGCCGTCCATATCCGATGCTAGATCCACAATAATAAAATGTTGTATCTTTTTTTTTTTTTTTTAATTTCAAGTAGACGTATTTTGCATTTCCAGACTTTTTTTTTGTTTGAGTAGGGTTAGATGAATCTGTTATTTTCTTGTTCTTTCGTCTTCAGGCGGGCCGGTATCCTATCACTTCCTGCATGCTAGTGGTCACAATTATGTAACTATTTTATTGGTATCTCCAGGTAGTGTTTTGCTTTGTTTCTTTGTTCTTTTTTTTTTCTTCTTTTTGAATTTCAAAGTAATATACAGTATATTTATACCTCCGTTTTCTAGTTTCCATAAAGGCAATGGTGATGGGCACAGATGCCCATGATGGACGAAACGCGTTAATGGGGCATGGTCCAGTATGGGATGATGCTGAAGCCTTGCTCTTCCATTTGAAATTTCAGTGGTTTTGTGCTCGTCCATCTCTTTTTTTTTTTCCTTTTGATGATCGGGCAGGACGAGCACTTAGGGAGCCTTGGAGTTACACTAAGGCCCCATTCACACCATCACAGTGTGGTAACCCATGCACGTGGACATGCATCTCTGCGTCAATGTGCGTTGCATTACAGCAGCCCATCCCAAATGAATGGGCTCCCAAATTGAACCACTTCTTGCTGCGCATGTATATTAGATCAATGGTATCAGTGAACGCAATAATAATCCCCAATATTGGTGTCAGTGAACTCAATAATAATCCCCAATATTGGTGTCAGTGATTTAATAATAATAACCCCAAAATTGGTGTGCAGTGGAATAATAATAACCCCCAAATTGGTGTCAGTGGACTCAATAATAACCCCAAAATTGGTGTCAGTGGAGTCAAGCATAACCCCAACATTGGTGTCAGTGGTCTCAATAATAACCCCAACATTGGTGTCAGTGGATGCAATAGTAACCCCCAACATTGGTGTCAGTACATACAATAATAACTCCAACAATGGTGCCAGTGGACACAATAATAACCCCCAACATTGGTGTCAGTGATGCAATAATAACCCCCAACATTGGGGTCAGTGCATGCAATAATAACCCCTAGCATTGGTATCAGTGGAGTCAATAATAACCAGCAACACTGGTGTCAGTGGTCTCAAATAGTAACCCCAACATTGGTGTCAGCGGATGCAATAGCAACCGCCCACATTGGTGTCAGTGCCTGCAATAATAGCTCCCAGCATTGGTGCTAGTGGATACAATAATAACCCCCAACATTGGTATCAGTGCATATAATAATAACCCCCAACATTGGTGTCAGTGCATGCAATAATAACCCCCAACTGGTGTCAGTGCATACAATAATAACCTCCAACATTGGTCTCAGTGGATGTTATAATAACCCTCAACATTGGTATCAATGGATGCAACAAATAGCCCCAGCACTGGTTTCAGTGCACTCAATAATAACCCCCATCATTGGTATCAATGGATGTAATAATAACCCCCAGCGTTGATGCCATTGGACGAAACAATAACCCCTCCCCATTGGTGTCTGTGGAATCAATAATACCCCAACATTGGTGTTAGTGCATGCAATAATAACCCTAACAATGGTGCCAGTGGAAGCAATAAAAAAAAAAACAAAACTGGTGTCAGTGAATTCAGTGATAACCCCCAACAGTGGTGTCAGTGGAAGCAATAAAAAAAACCCAAAACTGGTGTCAGTGAATTCAATAATAACCCCCAACATTGGTATCAGTGAACGCAATAATAATCTCTAACATTGGTATCAATGGATGTAAAATGAACCCCCAGTGCTGGTGTCAGTGGACTCAATAATAACCCCCAACATTGATGTCAGTGGATGCAATATTACCCCCAACATTGATATCAATGGACTCAATAATAACCCCCAACACTGGTGTCAGTGGATGCAACAATAGACCCCCTAACACCAGGGCGTTAGAGCATTGAAGTGATCTATTGGCAATGTGAGTTGTGGGGGATGTTCATAACAAAGGCTCCTCATCACACCAGTGCATGTCACGTTTGATGCCATGGGGTAGGATCCAGATCCACCAATATCCCCCTGTTCCCGGCACGATGGCACCCCGGCGCCCCTACACCCGCTATGATTGGTAGGCAGGTGATATATTTCCATCTTTCTACTCCAGGGGCCACCACCAATATGAAGTAATGAACCACAAACATATTTATGATTGAAGGAAAGCCTAAATCAGCATAAATAATGATCTTCACCACCCGATGCAAAAAATAGAAAAGAAAACTGCAGCATATTGAAACGATTGCCGTTGCGCCGAATAAAGGAATTTCTCAGAAATCAGGCTGCGTTCCCAGATGTTGGTGATGAGCCGCCCGGCACACAAATGCTTTTGTTAGCGATGGAAATGAAACCACTCCAATCAAGCGGGGCATGAAACCATATCCTGCTGGCATGTGTGCTGATGTTTAGGGTTAGCCAGGCTTATTGTAACCTGCTGCTGGGACCGGGGCACTCTGCTAATCAGTGCCGCAGCCACGTGTGGTCGGGGAGAGCTCAGAGATTTCCGCTGGAAATCACGGCGCATTGTGCTCTCACCACACAAACAATGAAGCTAGAGTCCCATCCATGTGATTAAAAGAAACAAAAAAAAAAAAAAAAAGAAAAACTAACATTTTTCTTTCTATTGTGTGATTTATATTCTGAAAAATTGAGATTGGCTTTATTTAAAGCAAAAATCCAACCAAATATAACAATAATTAAAAAAAAAAAAAAAAAAACATTAAAAGATAAGTCCAGCTTTTGCTGCAATATTCACCTTCAATCCAGAGATTTCACTTTCACATGCGGCACTTTTTTTTGGACACTAGATGTCCCTAGCTTTATGGCCAGCATCATTTAACCCACTTCCTCTGAGCCCCGGTCTCGGGTACCCGGCCAGAGTGGATGCACAATAGCAGCGCATTTTTGCATCTTGACGTCTGAAAATTTCGGTCCTGCTGAATTACTTTGAAGCATATTGCAATGCGCACTGAAGACGTTGGAGCACAACAGCCCCAGCGTTGGTGTCAGTGGATGCAATAATAACCCTCAGCTTTGGTGTTGTTGGATGTAATAATAACACACAACATTGGTGTCAGTGCAAGCAATAACTCCCAACATTGGTATCAGTGGATGAAATAATAACCCCCAA